GGAGATGCAGAGAGGCAGGCAAATAGGATGCAGTGGGTGTGAGTATAACCTGGAGAGGGTGCAGAGGGGAAACATAGGGACTCAGGGGCCTCCCCCAAGTCCTACGGGACCCCCCCTCTTCCCACCACGGCAGCATGTATGCGCCAGACTGGGTTGGGGCCGTCCTGAATGGCCACTTTGCTCGCTGCCTGGGCTAAAGGTCATCATTAGTATTTATATCTCTGTCGACGAGGGTTCTGGCTGCCTGCCAGTCCTGGTTCCTGCCTTCCTCTGGCCTGGCCTGGGAAATGTCACCATCAGCACAAACGCTTCCTTCTCTTGGTGGGGCCAAAGAGGGGGAGAAACCCTGGAGTGACCCTCTTTCAAGGCACTGAAGCAAAGAAAGGAAGGCAGTTGGGAACAAAGGGCCTGACCAAGGAGCATTCCTGTACCCTCTGCCCCCTGTTATCCACGAACCTGCCGCCCACCCCACAGCCGCATAGGATCCTAGGGAGTAACCTCCGGTCTCAGCCATCTGTGGGGACATGGCCAAGCCTCACTCAGAGCCCAGAGACAGCCTTCCCTGGGAATCCACCAACTTCCAGACCTTTCCTCTCACACAGGGAGCCCCCATTCATTCTAGGAAACCAACTGGAGGAGGACAGGGCCAGGCCCAGACTCCCTCCTTCCCCATCACCGTTTCCTGGAGGTGCTTCCTTTGGGCCTCTCTTCCGGCAGCCTGTGCAGAAAGTATGGAGAGGGGGCCACGCAGCCAGGCCTTCCTAAGAGCAGCTGCTGAGAGGCTAGAAGGAAGCCCCCAGTCTGTCCGTCTGGGGGCTCTGTTCATCCTCCCACATCCAAGGCACCCTAGCAGTTGGCAGCACTCTGCCTCCCCACCCCACATCCTCTAGGTATTTAGCTCCAGGACTTCGAAGTGCAAATCAGGTTTCTGGGCCCTCCTCAAGTGCCCGCCTCTCCCTTCTCTTCATTTGGCTTCGCCTGACATGAAGGACCTTTGACCCTCCCCATCTCCTTCCTCTGGGCCCCCATTCCTCCCTCCTCCTGCACAAAAACGAACCCACTACAGGTGATATCAATGCACAGCTCTGAAAAGGAGTCAGCTGTGGCATGCTGGGCGTCTTCGCCAGGAGCATGAGCATGGCTCTGGCCCAGGGAGCCAGCCCTTCCCTGCGGGGGTGGGGTGGGGGTGACACAGGCACATCCTGAGGAGGGGCCTGCACTGGGGAGGGGTGTCAGGGAGTGAGAGAGGAAGGGACGCTGTTGTCCCTGCACATGTAGCAGGCTGAGAACCAGCCCAGGGACAGGGAAGGTGGTCCTTGGGGCTCCCAGCAGGGGGGTGCAGGGGGTCTCCCCCACGCACCACAGACTCAAAGAGGAAACCAGGGCCCCTCTGAGTCTAAAGCCTGAAGTTGCCAGTAATCTCTCTTCAAGAGCACAGGTCTGTCTCCTAAACTTGCCCCAATAGGAAAGGTAATAATAATCATCTCATTTTTCGTCCTTAAAATATCTGAACTTTTAAAGGGGAGGGCCGGGAGGAATCGTGCTGTGTTCAAAGCACAAAGCCTAAAATGCAGCACGAGTGTAAGTCTCCGGGGTATCATGAAACCATCACTGTGAAATCCAAACCCTCCCCCAACCTTAAAACCTGTTATCTTTGCCAGCTCTGGAGGAATCTGGCCTCCTTCCCACCCACCCACGGCTCACTACCCTAGTTCCAGCCTCGCGTCTGAGCGGGCTGGGGAAGCAGCCGCTCCTTGCAGCCTGCATGGCCTTCCCACCTGGCCCTGGGGACCCCCGGCTCCTGCTCTAGGTGCTTTGAGTCATTGGGGGGGCGGGGGGAGGAAATCTGAATGTCAATCTCCTAGTGGAGGCCTTGTCTGGATATCCTCACAATGTCACCTGCACTGGATTTGCTGCAGGCCTCAAAAGCGGGGTTTCAAACACAGAGGGTTTCAGCTTCCGGCCTGGATCCTGCAGCCTCTTCTCCTCTCTGGCCAGGTGGAGCCACAATATTGGGGTGAAGCAGAGTAAAGGCACTCTGGCTGTTCTAGGGACTCGAGCTGGCAGGCAAGGGCATCATTATCTCCACCGGGTGGCCTCTGGACCCAGTGACGAGAGATACCACAGTGTGGGGGCCTCCATCACGCCAGGCCCCATGCCAGGCCCTTCAGCAGCACTAGCGCTAATCCCGGCAACAATCTGCTGGACAGGCCGTACCTCCCTAGCTCACAGATGTGAAAAATGAGCCTCAGACGGGTGAAGTCACTTGCCCAAGGTCAACCAGCCAGAAAGTAGTAGAGCTGGGCTCTACATCCAAGTTTCTAAGTGCCTGTTACACTGAACTGAATTATAGCCCTCTCCAGGAGGTGGCTCCCCATTCTAGGTCATGATGATCTTGTAGAAGGGAGTATCCCAAGAATCTTCTTTCTGAAATCCCCAACCCCAGAGTAAATCCCTCACCTCCCACCAACAGGAGACCCATGCGCAGGTCCTTGTCACAGCTTTGACCTATTGGCTCTGCCCACAGGCAGCTTAGCCCCTAAAACATAAACCCATTTTGGTCAAAAGGGAGATTCTGAGAAGGCATCTAACCTTGGCTAATTCACACAAGAAGGGGGTATAGAAATCATTTGGGATCCCTTGGAAGGCCCTGCTTTCCAGTGGTTATTTATATAACATTATGCTTTCTTCAGTCTCCCAATGTCACCGTGGAATGGGCAAGGCAAGTATTATTATCTCTGTTTCATAGGTGGGCAGACTGAGGTTCAAGCCCTGATCATCCACGTGCACCCCATGATTTTAGTTCATTCTCTGGGGTTCAGGAAAAGACCAATTGGAAGTTTACCATCCCTTTCCTTGTTTCAGTACAAAAAGTGATAAATGGGACTCTGGAGGTTTTGTCTGCTTGCAGTACCCCAAAAGTGCCGTTCCACAAGCTGGCTTTGCTATCCCCACTTTCCAGATGGGGAAACTGAGACCTCCAAAAAGGGAAGAAGTTGGACCCATCCTATAGGGAATGCAACCGGGAAGGAGACTCTGGACCCTCTTTACGTCCATTCCAGATCCTGGAGCACCCCACCCCATCCCCACTGCTGGGTTACAGCACCCTCCCTCGCAAGGCCCAATCCCTCTTCACAGCTTCTGTGGCAGCAGGTGCGATGGAGGTAGAACAGGGCCACCCCAACATCTGCACTGAGGTGGGGAAGGAATTTGCACACACTCCAAAGAGGACTTGTCGAGTAGCAGGACCACAGCTAGGGGTTTCAGACTTGCTTTTTAAACTGTGAAGCCATTGTGGCATTTGGGAACATTTTGCTAACTTTTTTTCTAAAATTAAGTCAAAGTGATCTTCAAAACCAATAATCAGCCTTTGAGGACACCCCACTTGGGGTTTGTGGGAGGACAGCCAGCCAGAGCAGTTGGAAGACGAAATCTGCTCCTCTGATGTGACACCACTGGGTAAACAGGGGACAAGATGGTGCGGCAGCTTCCCAAGCCCTCCCGGACCTCCGGAATCCCAAACAGGTTTCCCGACCAGGAGGCGGAAGGAAGTATCTGGTGAGGAAGATGAAAATCCCATCTGGACGGGGCCCTTTAAACAACATCGTTAGGGAGGCGTGTAGCTCCCTTGGAGGCCACAGGCCCCCACAGGAGATGACCCCGTCTCTTGCCACAGGTCACCCTGCAAGGGACTGGGGGGTCCAGCGTGGCTCGGCCCCACTGGCCAAGAGCAATTAGCCCAGGAGGGAGGCTCCTGCCAAGCGGTGGAGCTGACGCGACAGGCGGGCAGAAGTGGCCCAACCAGCCCGAGCCTCCAGGGGCTTCTTCGGGAGCTGGAGGAGTAAAAATAACCTCGGCCTTTGTTGGAAGCGGCCGGGCCACGGGGACGGAGCTGATTTCAGGGAAGCCGAGCATGCGCCAGGGTCCCGCTGCCGAGACCTGCCCTTTGGGCAAATGATTTTTCCAGAAATGTGTCAGGTATTGTGTGCTGCTGCCATTGCCACTGCCACCGAGATTCAAAGACAGCCCGGGCCGCTCCCGCCCTCGGGGCTGACTTCCAACACAGACTTCTCGGAAGCTCAGCCTCCCACCTCTTTCTTCTCAAAACATCTTTGGAAAACAAGACTCCGGCACATAATTGGGGAGTTTGGGGGGGGGGGGCAAGAGCAGCCCTCAAGCTGAGGATTCTGTACCGTTGCCACCGTGATCATAAATCACCCCATCACCCCGGTTATTTGTTTAGGTGACAATCCTCTCTTCCCTGTCCTAAAATCCCCAGAGTCCGGTGTCAGTAGACAGTGGCAAACACACACCATGTAGAAGGAGGAAATTACTTGGGAAAAGGACTTTGTGGTGCCAAAACAATACTGAAGGGCTTTGCAGAGCTGCAGTCCTTTGTGCCGACATTCAGATTCTGGACTGCGCAGCCTTCACCCGCCTTCCCGGCTCTTGAGTCCCACCAGGGAAAGCTCCAGACCCAGGCTGGTTGGGAGGCAGAGCCTCAGCATCCTCCCCCGCCATAGGCTGTGGCTTGTCTCACCTCAAGGATGTCCCAGCTCCGAAGGTCAAGGAACCCCAAAAGCCTGACCCCTTGCAAAGCCACTCCCGATGGATAACAACTACCGATCGGCTGTGGCAGGGCCTCTGAATTTTCTTCCCAATGTCTCTGCCCACCCCTCAGCACTTCTACTTCCCTCGCCAGCCCCATCAGGAGACCCCCCTGGCTGCAGACACCACTAGGTGTATCTGCAAGGGGTCCAGAAAACCACTTTTCTTCTTCACAGAAACCAAGGAACAAAGAGGGATTTTCATCGTCAAGATGACCTCCCGACTCCGAGTCTAGAAGTTTCCAGGGAGGCTGGTAATAAATAACAACTTCTCCACAGCCTTTTGTCCCTCTGCTGAGTTCAGGATAAAGAGCTGAAGCAGGAGGCGGGAGGCTGCGTGAAGATTTCTTGGAACACAATAGATAGAAAACACCAAACTACACGTAAGTGACTGATCGGTGGTCACAAAACAGCTTCCCTTAAAATGGGAACCAGGGCCGGGGTAAATGTGAGGGGGTTCCACAGGGCCGGGGCCAGGGGTGTTCTTCAAACGTGAAAGATCCTTCTGGTGGAAGCAAGGAGGGGCTGACAGAAGTACTGGAACCTGCATGTAGGGGGTAAGCAGACACCTCACCCTCTCGGTTCCACATGTCCGTGCCCTCCATGACCACAGGTGTTCCTTACAGTCGGTCTGTCTGGATAGATGGGTGTGGGGACTTGATCCGGTGTGAAGTGGGCTCTGCCTCAGCCTCTCCAGCAGCAGGTCACAGTCTGTGACCCGGGGCCCTAGGCTTGGCAGCCGAAGGCTGAGGCTTTTTCTTTGAGCAGTTCCCAGCACAGGTGGCAGCTCCAGCTTCCTATAAGAAACAAGATGCCCTAGTTGCCAGCTGCCCTTCGCCCCACCCCTTGGCCCTCACTCCTGCAAGTGCCTTTTCTCCTTTGACTTTCACAGTTCAGAGATGGAGGCCTAGGCCTGAAAGTGGGCCAGAGTCTGTAACTCGTGGCAGAGGGTGAGCGCTCCTCAGAAAATAGTTAAGTGTTCAGAGGCGATCCGCTGAACTGTTGTAAAAACCCCCACTGTCCTTGACAGCGACATAACTGGCAGCACTAGGCCTGGGCTGGTTCCCCTGGAAGCTGACACCTCCCCACCACTTTGTCTGCATGTCCAAGAAACATCTCCTTGGTCCTCAAGCTGAAATTTCAGAGGGTTGAACTGTGCCCTCCATTTCCTCATCTGTAAAATGGTAGCATAGGGTTGTGATGATTGAATGAGACAAGACATGTAAAGGCTTTAGCACGAGACCTGAACGAGAGTGAGGGCTCCCTAAGTGATAGGGGTAGCTGTTGTTGCTACAGTCGACATCATCATCATTACCTTCTGGGGGCTCAGCCACTGGAGGATTTAAACAGTACATGTGATAGCCACGGTCACAGTCATCACAGAAGAGTAGCTGGTCCTGGTGGAATACAGAGTAGGTGGAGAGGAGGAGAGAGAGAATGAATTATTTAGGGCCAGTGTCTGGCCACCCCCTACTCCTCCAGCCTCTCCCATGCAGACCCACCTCACTGAATGCTCCTTTCCAGGCCCCATTTGCAGTCTTCCCTGTCCCCTGAATATGCTTTGTGCTTTGCCCACACCTGCAAATTCCTGCTCTGTCTCCCCAACTATGCCAACCCTATCCCCACGTTAGGGTTCTGCTCAAATCATACCTCCTCCAAGAGGCCTTCCTTTACTATCTCACATTCATGTTTAAAGAGATTCCTTACACTTCTGAATTCCCCTAACCAATAACTCTGTTTCTGTAAGGGAGGAAAACCACTTTTATGCACTTCTGTGTTCCCCATAATGATTGCCTAGTGCATAGAAAGTACTTTAAATGTTTGCAAATTTTAACTGAATTCCTCTTAACCTCACCCTTTCCACCTGTGAAAAGGGCAATGGCTATACTTGACCATAACATCTATGACACCTCAGAACCTCTTCAGGGTTTCATTATGTAAGTACAAAGAAATGGATGGGATGTGATGCCACCTTTCAGATCCCCAAAGCATCCTCGGGGGCTGGAGGCTGAAGCCCAGGGGAGAATAGGACCCTCTAGCTCTGTGTTGAATGTTGCTCCTGCAGTTTGCACCTTCGCTCCTGCAGTTCCCTCTGCCTGGATGCTCTCCCAGTCCCTGACCCCTACTCTTCTAAACCATTCCCTACCCACTCTTCAAGTCTTCCAGCTCTTCTGTCCTACAGAAATGTCACTAATCTAGCTCAAATGGAAGTTCTCTCTCCCCCTTGCATCCCCATAGTCCTCTTTCTTTCTTATGACATTTAATTGCATTTTCCTTTATGCCTCAAAGCCTGGCATGTGGTAGATATCTACACACAATTGTTTTCTTGAATAGCTCCTTTGGAATATACCTTGTCTACTCCTTTACAGATTGTAAGGCTCTTGGGGCAGAACCTTGTCTTAACTCATCTCCACATCTCCTTCAGAACTTGCACACAGTAGCTACACGTTTGTGATCTGTTCCTCATTATCCAGGTTCAGCTCTCCTCTATTCTTTGGACCTACCTAGATGGCTTATAAGACTTTGCAAAACTAAGTTTTGCATCAAATCTCACCTTGGCTCCCCTCAGCACAGAAATCCTGGAAAAGGTAGATATTGAAGTTGGAAACACCAACAAGCAAGCAATAAGGCAGGAGATATCATGAAAGACTTTTTTTTTTTAATCACACTAACACCTTTCAACAGGGCAATGGAAGGTTTTTGAAGAGTTAGCAACAGAGGAGTGACTGGTCACACATGGAATTTAGAAGGATCTCCCTAGCTGCTGTGTAAGAAGGAGCAGGTTGGGAGGAGGCAGGTTGATCCTAGAGGCTGGAAGACCACTTAGGATGCTACTACCACCATCCAGGTGAGCAGTGATAGTGTCCTAAACTAGGGTTGTGGCATGGGGAAAAGACAAGGGTCTTGTTCCCATTTGAAAGTCACTAATTAGATGTAGAAAATGATAGCAAAGAAATCAAGAATGTCCCCTAAGTTGTGGCTTGGTCAGCAAGCCAGATGATACAGCTACCCATTGAGATATGGGCAAAAGAGTAGATCCACAGGAGCCAGAAGGCAACCTCAGCTAGAGACATGTTCTACACATCTACAGGTCATGCAATGGAGGTGCCCTGGAGTCAGCTGGACATCAGTAGAGATCCCTAATCATGAGATATGGGTTTGGGAGTCATTGGTGATTAGATGATAATAGAGGTCCTAAGAGAAGAAGCCCAGAGTATGTTACAGATGTCCTTGAATTTGAGCTCATGGAGGGACGTCCGTGAACTTTTTGAAATTATATGCACAACTTTGTGCATAGGTACAAATGTACATATTTCTGAGAAAAGAGTAAGTACATAGCTTTCATTGAATTTTCTGAAAAATTAAGGACTCAAAAAATGTTACTGAGATAAAGGCCAAAAACAGACCCTTGAGAACACCAACTCTAAGGGACAGGCAGAGAAAAAAGAAACTGAGACACACAGTCAGAGAGGTAGGATGAAAACCAGGACAGTGGTTTAATCCAAAAAAAAAAAAAAGTTACACCATTGTCTTGGAGCTAAGTAAGCTATTTTACAATATGATTTAGGAATAATACAAGGACGAACAAGTTAGGATGGGAACAGAAAATAGGGAGGCTTGTCAGGAAGAGTATTACTAAAGTCTTAAAGATACATAACTCGGGCTATAGTGCTGATGCAAGAAATACAAGAAGGTAGGATACCCTGGGAAGTTACAGATGCACTTCCCCAAAGAAAAATCAAGTATTGTGGATTTGAATACATTTATCATGGGCTGATGGTTGTCTAGCACCACATTCTCTTCTTTTTCATGTGCTTTTCAGGATAACTGCCTGTCAAAACCACCCAGATCAGTCAGCTCATGTTAACCCCCATGAAAAACATAACTTAAGTACCCTTACTCCCAAGTACCCAAGAACCGGTTCCAGTAGAATGGGAACCCCATTCTGGGATGTGCAGGGTAAATCTCTGAATATGTGAGAGGAACCCTAATGCCAAGTAGCCTCACTGCTGGAACTCCTCCCCTACTCCTCTGCCAAGTCAATGAGAAGCCTCTGTATTAACACTATTTGTAAAGCTAAAGACCAGAATCAACCCAATGTCTATCAATAAGAGACTAGTTGAATAAACTAGTGAAGAACTATGCAGCTGTAGGAAGAAATTAAGATTATGTCTATATATTGTGGTAGAGTGAGTAATCTCAAGGGCATCCAGTGAAAAAGCAAGGTGAGAAAACAGGTGTGTCTGTTACGATTGTATAAGACAATGCATTCTTTTTTATGGATTCATACACATGAATTCTTATGTATTCACACACACAAACAGGTAATATGTTATATTTAAATAGGATGAAAAGACAAGCCATAATTTTTTTATATGGTCACCTATGAGCGGAGTGAGGGAATAGAGTGAAAGAGTAGGGATAGAAGCTAGATTTCTTTGACTACCCTGTTTATTTTAATAGATTTGATTCTGGAACCAGTAAATATTTTGCATAGTCATAAAACAAAATTCACACTGTTATTGTCCCTAAAAAAACAAAAAAAATGAAACAAGTGAATCTAATTATGTATTAGTTGATGGCATAACCACACAGAAAGTAACTATAGAAATAGTTGACCAAGTGACTTTATTTTTTTTTAAAGATCTTGTTTATTTATTCATGAGAGACACCGATAGAGGCAGAGACATAGGCAGAAGGAGAATCAGGCTCCATGCAGGGATCCCAATGATCCCAGGACTCTGGGATCACACCCTGAGCCAAAGAGCTGCTCAACCACTGAGCCACCCAGGCATCCCCTCAAGTGACTTTATTTTTTTTTTCCTCAAGTGACTTTAAAACAAGTAGTTTGACTATAAATCCTAGTCAAATATACTTTAAGGACAAAAATGTGTGTGTGTGTGTGTGTGTGTGTGTGTCTTTCCAGCAATCGTATTGTTGGTGGTAATAGTGGAATTAATATTTGAGACCTGTGTGTATCAAATGACTGATTATGTTGTCACTAAGAAGCAAGAATTTTTACATACTTGAAAGAAAATACAGATGTAATATCAATGAAGTTAAATAAAAACCCTACAATTAGTCCTGGGTATGAATTAGAAGTATCAGTATAAATTCGAGCATCCATAGAGATTCAGCATTCTATCTTTAAAGAGTTTGTTTTAAAACAAACTAAACATATTTTCTAGTTCTTTCCATTTAAAATGCCCCAAAACAATGACTACTGCTGTAAAAATTAGCACCCCTAGCACTCCTATTATGTTCTCTAAAGATCATTGGCCACTAAAAGGAACCAGAAATCCTTTAAGAAATGGCTGGTTCCAGCTCCCGGGCATGAAATGTATAAATATTTTCACATATTGGAAAGCAAGGAAACCACCAAACACTATTGGGATCATGTCAAAAGGACTCAAGATCCAACCTGATTACATTCTCACTGGCCAAATATAGGACAAATTAAGCTGTAGTGGATTAAAACAAATCAAATATGTTTAAATCCCTGAGTTCATACAGATACTACTTAGAAACAAAAACTTTGTCACCTTTGGAAGATGCTAGGGAAACATCCCATTATTTTTTGTTATCTTGACATAATTTTAGTCTCAGGGAAAGTCACAAAATGGTACAGAGAGTTTCTGTACACATTTTACTCAGCTTCCCTTAATGTCATCATCTTACATTACAATAGTACAATCACAAAAAGCAGGATATTACAGTAACATTATACTATTAACTACTCTGCAGACCTCATTTGAAATTCACCAGTTTTTCCACTTCTGTCTCCTTTCCCAGCTTCCACTCCAGGATCTCGCATTGTATTTAGTTGTCATGTTTTCTTAGTGTCCTTGAATCTATGACAGTTTCTTTATCTTTCACAACCTTGATGCTTTTGAAGAATCTAGGCCAGTGATTTTGTAGAATGTCACTCAATTTGAGTTTTTCTGATCTTTTTTCATACCCTCAGTATGCATTTTTGGCAAGAATACTACAAAAGAGATGTGCCCTTCTCAGTGCATCATATCGGGGCATTGATACCAATATGTCTTGTTACTAGTAATGGTACTCTGATCATATAGTTAAGGTAGTGGCTGTCAGTTTTTCCACTATAATGTCATAATTTTTCCCTTTGTAATGTATTAATAAGTAATCTGGTGAGGGAAATACTTTGAGATTATGCAAATATTCTGTTGCTAACCATACTTTTGCCCACTAATTTTGGCATCAATTGATTGTTCTTTCTTACATCAACCAGAAGAGTGATGTTTGCCTATTGGTGATTTCCTTTTCTCCTCTACATTTATTCATTGTAATTCTGCTCCGAGCAACAGTTTAATTCTTCCTTATTTTTTTACTCAAATTTTTAAAATATCATGATGGATTTTGTTCTTTGTGTTAT